CCTTCCTCTTCCTGCTTTGGAGGCTCCAGTCTGGCCATTAGCTTTGAATGCTCCTCTCCAGCTCCTTCCGGTTTCCAAAGGACTTGTCGGCCTTCTAACAAAGACCTTTTGGCTTTCCAGCACAGTCCTACACTGGATTCTGCAGTGAGCTCTAGGCTTTTTGACTTTCAACTGGACCCATTTTTCATTTTTTTGCCCCTGACTCCATATGCAGGTGTTATAAGCCTACTTAGTAAACCCTTTATTTAATCATGTATGCTTATCTGTGGGTTTTATATTAAATCTGTTCCTCTACAAGCCCTAACTGATACACCTGGCGTTGCAAGAAATAAACACCTCAATTTTAAAATGGGAAAAATAGTTTAGAAAACATCTTGTCAAATATATGAAGGTATACAGATGTCAAATAGGTATATGAAAAGACTCCATTGGCTATTGATAAAATGCTAATTAAAAGACTTCATACCCACTAGGAAAGCTAAAATAAAGAAGACTGACCTCACATTTTGGCAAGAACGCAGAAGGGCTGAATTCTCATTCACCACTGGTAGAAACTCAAAGTGTTACAGTTGTTATGAAGAATAATGTGGTGTTTTCTTTAAAAGTGAAAATTACATTTGCCATTTTATCCAGCTTTTCTATTGCCAGATGATTCCTCAAAAGAAACGAAAATGTGTGTCTATAACATGAAGGGCAAAGAAAGGCTGTAGAAAATTTTTAGGTTAAAGGAAGCCAGGAAGAAAACAATTCATGCAACACCTACCTTAAACTGGTTCTTTTATTCAGGGGGGAAATAGCACCTAAAATATTGTTGTATGAAATAACAGGCTATGAGGGATAAAATAATGTTTTAATGCTACATTCACTGCTGCATTGAGAATATTTCTATCCTTAGAAAATAAAATGTTGACAACAGGTGAGTATTTTATGATGGTATTTCAGTATTATTTTTTAGTTTTCAACTTTCCCACAGGTTTGAAATAACTTCCAAATAAAAACAAATTTTAAAAAGCTCCAGTGGTAATAAGTGTTTTGTCTTAAGGTAAATGAATTCATCTCTGTCTACGTTTTAGACATGACTTCTCAGAAAATACAATAATATAATCCATTGATTCAGCTTTAATGTCATCAAAAGACAAATGGCTTCAAAAGATTTCCAGTGCTCAAAGATTTCTCCTCTCGAATAAGTTGACAAAGCTCTTTTTTGATTTTGATGCTATCCTGGTACTGCAGCATTTAAAAGTTTGCAAGGATGCTGATCTCAATCCTCTTCTTTGTATATCAGCTTGGCCACTAACGCTCTTTAACATTAGGACCTTGAAGTGGAACACTTACACATTAACCATATTTAGGATTTTAACCTTTCCAATGGTGAAAAGTGTCTTTCAGGTAAACCACACCATGAATAAAATCCTCTCTTTAAATATGTTTCAACAGTAGGCTTTGTTTTCCTTTAAAACAAACAAAAAAGGCAGAAGTGAAAGATTCCACTTATTAGCACAGGTGCTTTAAAACTTGGCCTCATGAAAACAAGAGAATGTCTCTCCACAAAAATATTCTTAAATGTGACTATTTAGAAACCTGCTTCTGACAGAGTTGGATTTTTTTTTTGCTTGATGATACAATGTATTTTAGTTATTTTAAAATTTATTAAAGAGTCATCAGCACATGTATGTCTTAAAATGGATGAGTGTCCTATGTGGGAGGAAATTCCTTAGGTGATTAAATGGAGAAGTAGCCAGGTACCAACCACTGTAGATCCGGCTATGAAGAGTTCTTGTTTCTAGTCCAAATTTTCTATACCTGAAAATCACCTTTGCTGTTGTCACCACTGCCAAAAAGTTGAATTTTGCTGTTTCATTAAAAAAAAATCATGCAAGAATTTTTCTTTAATAGCTTCATCCTGCACAGAACAGGCAAAAGCAAAAGGAAAAAGAGCAGCTGACCTTGTTGAAAGATGCCTTCAGCTTTATCTGACTGCAAAATAGAGGAGAATGGCAAAACTGCCAATTTCCTAAGGACTGCTTCAATTTATAAAGAAATATAAACCGCGCTATTTGACAAGAAAACCCCAATTTTCTGTTCAATTTGCAAACCAGTTCTTAGGTAGTTTACAAATATTTTCTCAACAACATGGATCTTCTTTTATTTAGCAAGCTGGTGAATACCAAAGGAAAGACTTTTATAAAGTGACAAAGCTATACAACTGTGCTTTTCCAAATAGAGCTTAGTTATCGGGCAGAAAACATCCACATCCTGAGATGCAGAAATACACAAGAGATTCTTGTGTCTGTCTTTATACATCCATTCCCAGGAATATTTCAAAAATAAAATCAGTGTGACTTTTGTGTCCCACAAAATTCAAAGGTACAAATGAAACCTTATTTTTAAATTTTTTTTATTTTGAAGATAAAGCCTTATTTTTTTACTATGGCTAACAAAGTCTCAGCTACTGCTAATTCTTTTGTAGCTTGTTGTAAATATTTAGATAATAGGGAGGTTTTCTATCAGATAGAAATTAAAAAGACTAAAAATAGAAATTTTCTATTAAAGTTTATGACTGTGTAGTAGCTCATTTTCAGTTGCTATAATGAAATACATGAAGGTAGGTACTTTACAAAGAGAAGAGGTTTGTGTGGCTCATAGTTTTAGAGGTTCAAAATCAAAATAAGCTTGAACTGATTCTGGTGAGGCCCCTTCATTAAATCATTTCATAGCAAACAGAATCATGGTAGGGACACAAGCCAGTGTCATCACACTGCAAGGCAGGAAGCTGGAACAGGGAGGAGCCTCTGTATACACCTTGTTCTCTCAAGAATTTACCAAGGATCCAGTGAAAATTACACCCTCATGACTTAGTGACCTCTCACTGGGACCCACTTCTAAGGGTTCCAAGGCCTCCACCTCATAGGGGGCCAAGCGCCATAGTTTAGATGTAAAAGGTTCCCAAAACCTCGTGTATTTGGAAGGTGACAAGATCATGGAGCACCAATGATAGTGATTTCATTCATTGCTCCGGTAGGAGGTGGGACCTGGTTGAAGAAGCAGGTCACTCACGGAAGACAAGACTTGGAGGAGCTGTTCTGTCCCTGGCTCTACTCTTGTGCCCTCTCTGCTGGTTGCGTGGAGTGAGCAGCCTTTCTCCCCATGCACGTCTGCAGCTCTGTTTCTGCCTTCCAGCCAGTTAATCGTGGACTAAATACCACATTGCCTAGGAACCTGTGAGCCACACCTCTCCTCTTTTAAGTTCGTTGTTGGATATTTTATCCCAGCATCAGGAAAGACACCAACTTCCAAATCCTGTGGATCAAAGTGTATCCAAACCATTGCACCTCCTAAAGCTAAGAGGCCACTAGACAGGATTAGGAAACCTTGTCCAAGCATAAGATGTTAATGCACCATCCTGAAATCAGTCCATAAGCAGACCCAAAAGGGAGTTTTGCAACTTTGTAGTATCTATTGTGACTTTTCATCTGAAGCATGGCCATATGGTGAATAAAGCCTGAATGTTAGTGACACTCTCTAGGTATGGACCCTGCTTTGAACTTGCGAGGTTCTTCACCATTCTGTTAGAAGAGCTCAGAGAGACAATCTGTGTGGAAACGTGTCCTCAGACACGGCAGGTAGCTGGCACTCAGCAGTGGGGTATGGTTCTTTTTTCTTCATTTCGGTCCCCACCAGCAACTGGAGGCAGAAGGGCACTATGTATTTCTCTGGGTCCTACAGCAAGCACCTCTCTTGCCAGTGTGTGTTATTATTTCTCACCCAAATCTTGATTTCTGCTTGGCAAATCAAACGCTGCCCCCACAGAAGCCAGAGCCTGACTCTAGGCTAGAGACGTTTCCCCCAAAACAGAAGGGTGTCCCCTAGAAGCACAAAGTGTGCAGACTGCTCCTCTAGGCTAACAGCAAGATCTCTGTCACCCACCCCAAATCCAAAGTTCAAGACCTGAACATGAGGACACAGTGTTCTGCTTTCTCCCCCTCGGAGCAGGACAGGTGGCATCTCTGCTGACTGGAGGCTTTTATGGCATGGGCGTAAATGTAATTTGGATGCTATGCTTGGACAGTGGTATCCTTTGTCAAACAGAGGATTAGTTATTTCAAAGCAACAGAACTGTTTGCCCATCTTCACAACTTACGTAATGAGCCATAGAACGTTTAAAAGTACCAAAGAACTCAAAAAACTAGTTGAATAGAACATCACAGATAAATGACAGCAAAGATGGGTAACACAGTTATTCCCACTCTATGACACCATGCAAGCTGGTCACAGGGTCTGACAGCCATCCTCTCCTGACCTGTGAGAAATGAAAAGCTAAATTACTTTAGGAAAAACAATTTGATAGTTGTAGGAACTGTTGAAGGATGTTGAGTAGGTTTCAGGACCTCAATATTTAGGTGGAGTTTAAAATTCCAGAATTCTAATTGAAATTAGAATTAGTCTGGTACAATGAAGATTCAAAATTCAATGGACCTTTCAGGAACTATCTATGAAAGAGATTCTTGAAAGAACAGAAACTGTGCGATCACCTTGCAGTTTAGTTAGAATACACATAGAAGATCATTTAAAGTACACAGGTGAGTGTACCAGAGCTATGTGCAAATACAATGCAATTTCATATCCTGAAGATTGGTGGATTTGGAGACTCTTGAAAATAAGTTGCTGGTATTCGTATGAAAATAGGTGCACCATGCAACCCTAACGTTAAGCTAGATGAGACACAGAGCTTAAATATTTGATATCAAATATTGGATTCTGAATGGCAACTATAAGTTTACATTTTTGAAAACGTTCATAAACTGCAATGCCCAGCATTTATGAGTTACCACTACTTTCTACTGTGGGAAGGACAGCCAATGAACTCGAGTCCAAAAAAACCCCTTGCGTGACGAGCTCCCTTAGGCATGAATAATCAGCGGCCACTCATGAAGGCAAAAGCGTCTTCCCTGGAGCCCAAACACCTGTGCCCGCAGCCCTGCGGAGACTTCCAAGTCAGGATGAACAAGTGCGTTTTGGGGCTCTTCTCCCTCTTCTGCCTCATCATGGGTGAGTCCCAGACCTGAGGACTCAGGGAACTAACTCCAGGGGAGTCCGCATGCTTAAGGGTATCCATGCAGGGCTGAACTTGGACCGCACTTGTGAGAGAAGGTTTCCTAGCAACCTTTCTGTCTTTTCCAGGGTCCGCCATTCCCCTCCCAGTGTTTGAGGTCGCTGTACCTCTGTCACTTTGTCCTTCTTTACTCCTCTATCTCAGCCACCCCGTATTAGCCAAATCCCAACCAGATTTCCCTCAGAACATCTTTTCATGAATACAGATTCATTTTCTAAGGGAGCTAGTCAGTCTATAAAGAATAATAGTGCTGTGTTTCTGGATCATACGTGATAGTTTCTGACACCCTTTTGGAAAACTTTTTTATGACAAGTATATTTAGGAGAGAAATTCTGTACAGTCTCAAATCAGACAAGTGTTTTTTAAAAGGTCGAATCAAGAACTCACACTCTGTGTACCTTGGGTGCTCATTTGACAAACGGACCTTACACCTTCTTGCAAGGCTTTTGTAGGGATTAAATCAGCTACAATTCGAGAAAAAAGACGGCCCTCCTGAGATAATAAATAAATGCTTCTTTCTTTTCTTAGTTAAGTGTACCAAGAAGAGAGTTTTAAAAATTGAATATTTATTGCAATAATTCAGCCTGTAAAATCTGAGAAAGGTGTTACTATGTTTTTCTTTTTGTATTTCCAGGAATTGTTTCATTTTTATAAGCACATGTTTATAGTACACAATGATTACATTACTCATGAGAAGTTGGAGTATGTGTATCACACACCTTAATGCTTTTTTCAATCCTCGTCTCCTCTCCTCTCCATCTCTTGGTCCCAATTTCAGTTGCAAAAGATCTGTTTCCCTATTTCCTGCCATCTGTTTCAATTTGCTCTTTATTTAGATTTTGGTTCTCTGTCTCTCTGTCTCTGTGTCTGTGTCTGTCTCTGTGTCTGTCTGTCTGTCTGTCTCTCTCTCTCTCTCTCTCTCTCTCTCTCTCTCTCTCTCTCTCTCTCCCTCTCTTTCTCCCTCTCTCTCTCTTTTCTGGTACTGGGAATCAAATTCATGACCTCACACTTGCCAGCCAGGCACTGTGCCACTGAGCTACATCACCAATTGGTTTGCTCTTATAAGAGAAAACATGCAATATTTAAGCTTCTGTGTCTTGTTTATTTAGCTTAACATTAAGGTTGCAAGCTCATCCATTTTCCTACAAATGACTCGAGCTCACCCTTACGACTAAATCTCCACTGTGTACACATCCCACAATTTCTTTATCCATTCGTCTGCTGATGGACACATAGGCCTCCCTCACAACTTGGGAATTGTGAATTCAGCTACTATAAACCTGGCTATGTGTGTATCATGGGAATATGATCCCTTTAACTCTGTGGGGAAGATATCTAGAAAAAGAATGGCTGGGGCAAAATCAATTCTATTTTTAGGTTTGAGGACTCTCTATACTGATTTCCATAGGGGTTTATACTTGAATTCAAAACAACACAATATAACTCCTAACAATATGTAAGCAATAATGTACAACCCAAAATAAAGTCAAATGTCAGAACCCCATCCTCTTGAATAAAATGTTGTAAAGCATTCCTCCTCACCAAACTCATGCTGCTCCACCTGTAAAGCAGGAGAAAACAGCATGAATAGATCCTTTTTTAAGGTACAGAATGACTTAGAAGCTAATTTTTGCTCAAAATATTTCAAATGAAAAGGACTAAGGTTGGGGCCAGGATATTTTAATCACCCAATAGCATTTTCTTTCTACTGTAGGATAACTGAAAAGTTGCTAAAAGATTTCACTGTTTTCTGCCAATCTCCACCATCAGGTCCTCATCCACCCACCCAGGCCCTGGCCACCCCACTCCCTCAGGTAAAATACTGCCAGCTCCATCCCAAGCCCCTGCCTCTGTCTGGCCTCACACCCAGCTCTGTCCTTCTCTAGCTGCAGCATCACTGAAATGTGCAACATGTCATCTTCAAATAACAGGAGAGCGCTGCAGAAGAGACTTTGGCATCTGTGTTGCTCAGAAGGACGAGTCGTGCATGGTTCTAAAGGTCGTCTATAGTAAGTCAGAGGGTCTGGGGAGGTGCTATGAGAACCTTGGAACTCCCAAGACAGTGGGTTTGGTAATTTTGCATCTCAGGATGAGAACAACCAAACGACACAAGCCAGTTACAAACACCCCCAGCGCAAGTAGAACAGATCCCTGCGTCTGCAAAAGAAGAGGGTGTGGGGTATTAGGAAGGACAGAGAGGTGGGGATTCTCTATTCCCAATAAAAATGGTTAAACAGATTTTTTTTTACCTAGAGAGCCCCAAAGTGCTATTTGCTAATTCTCTAGCAGAAAAGAGAATGAAACAGGTGCACGATGCATTGAGAACTATCAAGTACTTCACTTAAATTGTCCAACCCCTTCAGGTAGCCAGCAATTTCTGCATCGCTTCCCTGGGCACTGTAAGGTGGGAAGCCAAATGTGTCCTGCTGCTAGATTGGTGCCAGATTGTACCTGCCTTGGAAGACTTAGATCACTGGCTTTTCTCTTGTGACTCTTCCCTATTGCAGACTTTTCTCTCGTGTTATCCTACATGGACTGTCAGAAGTTCTGCAAAACTGGGAAGTACGCTATCAACAGGCGCGTTTACCGGTACACTTGTTGCAAATCCAATTACTGTAACAGGCTAATCTAATACGTTCAGCCCTTTAAGGCCTCATCCAGGAACGTTACTGATGTTTTTTAGCCTTCATCTTCTACCTACCCTGGTTCTCCCACCCCGTGTGTCTTACCAGTACTGCACCCTTCTCCTAAACCCATGTCACCCTTCCTGGTGCCTTTGACTTACTTCTGCTACACCTCTCTGGTCAGGGGATAGCAGGTGTGAACCGTGGAATTCTCTCATTAAAAGGGTTGGCATTTCTATGCTCTCAGAGTTCCTTACAGTAGAGTTTAAAACCCGATTCGTACAGCACCTTTGTATCAGCTTGGAGAACTGAGGTACACAGAAATATTTCAGCTGAAAGTTCTCGGATGTCTTTAAGCACCCACGAATCACGACACTGATTAAGCATAAGTAGCAATAAAGTTGGTGGTGGATAACTGAAAGTTTTGCTTTCTGTTAGAAACTCATTCTCCCCAGCAGAGAGTGCCCATTTCGGATTCAGTTCTTCTATTTTTGTGGCTTATACGAGTGCCTTCTTACACACATTGGCAGCACACAGCAGACAAGGGGCACCCCAGACCCTGCAGCGTTCTCAGCCCAAACCCAGGCGCTAGTACGTTTGTCAAGATGCAGACTTACAGCACATCGCCTCTCTCATTTCGTCCCCCTGCCCTCTGAATCTCTTTCTGTTCCTTTCCTTCGCCACCCATTTCTACTGTCACCCAATCACCTCCCTATTGCTACACAAGCCACCCCTCTTAAGGTGGGGAATGCTTGAAAGCTTTGTTCCATTTCTTAGGGTTCTCTAGGCAAACACAACCTATCAGCTGTGTATCTATGTACTTGTCTATTACTTACCTCCCTATCATCTATCTACCTGTTATCTATCCTCTACCTACTTATTAGCCACCTACAGATCTACCTATCACCTACCTATGCATTATCTACCTCCTTATCTATTATCTACTTATCTGCCTATGTGTCTACCTGCAAGGGGGTATCAGGCTTACAGCATCAGAGGCAGGAAGGTGCAAAGTGGCCATGTCATGCTGCAGAGCCAGATGACCCAGTAACTGCTCTACCCAAGAAACCACAAGGGCACAGTAAGAAGGATCGAAGACGCAATGCCAACCTGGGATTAAAAGCCTGGAACTGCACGGAGAATGGCTCAAATGGATTCATAGCGGAAATCTTGAGAATTTGATGTTAGTACTCACAGTTGCAAAAATGCAACCCCTAAAGAAGAACGGAGCTTTCTTTCCTTGTTTTAATTAGCACATCATTGTGGTACACAATGTGTACATTCCTTCTGAGGAGCTGATGCGTGTACATAACACATCATAATTGCTTTTTCTTCCCCTTTCCCTCACCTTCCTCTTCCTGCACCGCCCTTCCTCCATCTCTTGATCCCCTTCCCCTATGAGAAAGATCCTTCTCCCTACTTCTTATTATCTATCTTTTATTTTGCTTTTTATATATACTTTGAGTTTTTCATGCAGCAAAATCTATGTGATATGTACGCGTGTGTGTGCAGTTTATTTTACTTAGTATTACGGTCTCAGAGAGAATGGAGCTTTCAGCACACAGGGCAACTTCCTCCTCTTCCTTCTCTTTCATTCCATTTGACCTGCAAGCTTACTGGATTTACTGACCCATGTGACAGTGCTCTCCAGACACCCCCTGGACAGTCCCAGAAGTGCGCTTCACTAACCTGCTAGGCATCTCTCCATATGAGTCAAACTGACAATCCCCATGAACCATCACCTCTGCACAGTGTGTCCCACTCCCATGAGATCCATTACCCAGGTTGGGCTATCCACTGGGGTCCCTTGTCCGTGGTGCTAAATAGGGTACACTCGGTGAAGTCCCCACTTTCTCTGGGCAGCTCTCTTGAGCCTTAGGTTACCAGCTTACAGTGGATTTGAAATGTCTGTCCCTTGCCACCTCTCTGAAAACAGTAAATCCACTTTGCACATCTTGTGAGTGAATGTGTTTTTGCACAGGGAAGCTGTGCATGGTGAATGTAAACGGCCCAGGATGCAGTGGAAACAGTATTAAGGACTCCTCTATTTCCTGACAGCTTGACGTTCCCTGCACTTCACTTGAGAGCTCCCCCTTTGGGTTTTCTGAGTGTTAAAATCCCTCTGTGCAGACTCCAGCAGGAATCTGAAATCTGAGAACCTGGCAACATGACATATTTCTCGATGATTCCCATTAGATGTCTTGATTACACACTTAGTGATTACTCGCGAGAGGTACGCGGTGAGCAGGAGTACTAGGACACCTTTTGACATCCACGGATCCCAAACCATGATATGTTCATTCCCAAAAGTCTCTAAAGCACCGTGCTGGTTTCTGTTCTCTAGCCAAAGTCTGTGGTGCCACGCTTGCCACTTGGTCAGCTGTGAAGAGCCTTCAAAGGCGACTTCTGAGAAGACTGTTCCTTTAGATCTCAGAGCGAAAGCTCATTCTTTGCTGGAATTGAGCTCCACTTGTGCCTTATGTTTAAAAACATTCAATAGCATTTTAAGGATTTCTTCAAGCTGGCATGGTGGTGCACAGCTACAATCTCAGCACTTGGGAAACTGAGGCAGAAGGAACGCCAGGAGTTCAGGGCAATCTCGGCTACAAAATGAGACCCTGTCTCAAAAAAAATACTGAAAAAGTATTGACATTTCATGACTTTACTCTCTATCCAGTTATCTTAGTGGGCTATATCTCTGCTCTGCAACTGTCAATATTATAACCAGAAAGAGAAAAATAATATTCATGCTTGAAATGTTGTTTGTGTCTTTTTAAAATATCTATTTTGTCACAATGTTTTCTAGCCATTTCAATTAACAGCTCAAATACACTAATTTTTTTGTATTTAAGCAAGCAAACACTAGGCCAAATCACATATTGATCTCAGCCTCATTGAATCCCTATTGGTTTTAATACTACAGAAAGCGTATACTGAGTCTGTTGAGCAAGTTGTTGACAAAATGCCTCAGAAGCCCTGAATTCTGTAATCTGTTTCCTCCAACAGGGACATCTTGTCACACAACCACCATACAACCGTTACAGTCACAAAATTACCACTGATACATTGCATGATTCGCCACCCCCTCCTAGTTTCATCAATTTCCCAAGAGTACTTTTAGAGCAAAATAATTCATAAATATAAATTCAAAATAATTCATAAAATTCAAAATAATTCCAGGATTGCAGTGTTGTATTTAGTTGCTGTTACCTCCCCAGTCCCCTCTGATCTGAAACAGTTCTACAATCTGTTCTCAAAGGCTCGATGTTCTTCCCAATGTGTCTGGGCAGGGTGCACACGACTTATTTGTGTTTCCAGTGAGGTTATCTGCTGACAATAAAAATGATTTCTTCTCTGTGAATGTATAGGAGGTTATTTGAGAGTGTGTGTCACTCAGCTTTCCAATTCTGTGACAAAATACCTGAGACTCAACTTAAAAAGAGGAAGAGGTTTTTGGGGTCATGGTTCAGTGGTTTCAGTCTGTGGCCGCTGTCCGGGTTGCGGGGCACTGCCCCGGCACTGTACTCATGGCACGAATGCATGCTGAAGAAAGTCTGTTCCCCTTTGGTGGCCAGGAGACAGGTGGGAAGGCCCTGAAGTTTCCATGTCCCCTTCCAGGAAAAGCCGCGAGCCATGGGCATTCACAGAATACTGGTCTATCATTTGAGGGTTTTGCTTCAATGAGATTATATTGGTACATTTTAGACATATGTAATGATCACACTCCTCATAGAAAATTCATACCTGTGCATGATATAACTTGATTTTGATGCATTCCCCCACCCTCCCTTCAACCCTCCCTCTCCTCCCCACTTATGGAATATTTGTTTCTATTTTTCCTTCTTTTCTCACTTTTTTTTTAAACTTTTCCCTTTCCCTTCCCCTCCCCATTTGAACACTTTCTTCCTATTTCACAATATCTAGTATATATTTAAGTCCTTATTTATACTTTTGGTTTCTCACATCAGAGAAACAACATGGTATTCACACACATGTGTCCAATTTATTTCACTAAGAGTATGGATTTGAGGTGCGTCTGTTTGCCTAAGAATGCCTCAAGCTTATCCTTCTTTATGGCAGAGTAGTACTCCACCATATATAAAAGCCCACATCTTCTTTATCCATTCCTTGGTTGATGGGCATTTGGGCTGTTTCCAAGATTTGGCTACTACAAACTGTGCCACTATAAACATGGTGCACATATATGACCGTGGTGTAATCTTTTAATTCATCCAGGAAGATGTCTGGGAAGGGAATAGGTGAGTCAAATGGGACCTCTTGTCCTGATTTTTTGAGGAATGTTCACACTGATTTCCATAGTGCGCACCAGTCTGCACTCCCACCAACAGTGGAGGAGGGTTTCTTTTCCCCCACATCCCTGCCAGCATTGGTTATTTGTAACATAATTGTGAAGAGCAGCAAGACCATGAAAACGAAACCTTCACTGTGTACCTTCCCTTTAGTAGACCTAATTTTTTTAGGGAGAAACAATCTTCAGAAACTAACATGCACTCTAGGTGTGCTGATTAATGTTGGAGGATCTCTGCTGTGGGTCTGTCCATGTATACACACAGGCACACTTATGCACACATATACATATACATATTCATATTCAGGATTTATGCAGCTTTATCTCTTTCCATATTTCTGGATCATTACTACAACTGTGGAAATCAGAGCTCCACGTATACTAAACACATCATGTATTTAATCAGTGCTTGCATGTGTTTGTATGCGTATGTGTGTCTGCTACTGGGGACTGAATCCAGGGCCTTCATACTGAACTACAAACCCAGGCCTCTTCTTAAAAAGAAAAGTTTGAGACAGGGTGTCCCTAATTCTCTAAGTCACCAAGGGTGGATTTGAACTTGTGATCCTCCTGCCTCAGCTTCCAGAGTGCTGTGGCTATTGTCATGGGCTCCCACGTCCAGCTCGATGACTCTCACTGTCACTGGCTTCTCTCACTTGGGTGCCACAGCCCACTCCCGGCCACGGCACAACTATGCCC